AGGAGGAAAGTGGGCAAGATAAATCTCGTCTTCAACAAATGTGGTGTGTACTCATCTTTCCATGCCTTAGCTTATATAGTGTCCCCTACCAGAAGTTCTTCCAAAGTGTTCTATGACTGCGTTTTGGCTCTCTATAAGCCCAAAGTGATCTTCCTTTTCTGTCTTGTGTTTATTCTGTTCTTCCAGCGACTGAATGGTGGTTTATGTTATTAGTGGTTATTCCCTTCCTCAACTAGAACACAAGGTTCTGATGGTCAAATAGCTTGTCTATGCCTCACTACTGACTTCATCTATCACAGGCCCTCAAAAAGCTTTGTGCCAGTTGACTGATACGTTCCATACGAACTAGAAACTAAAGTTTAACTTAAGAAAAACATTCACTCTCCTCCACTATGTATCTTCATTTGCTAACATTTAAATGGTAAGGAAATATATTCTGGGAGAATACCTGACAGTTCCTTTGGGAAAAGGGCGGAAATGAGATCAACACAAGTCAAGTTCATCATAGTGAGGACAGAACTAGTTACCAAGAGTTCTCACCACCCTCTTCCCCTTCTACCTTATAAGGCTTAGCACTCATCCCAGTGGACAGCTCCATAAGGTAAATGTATCTCAGGAGCAACTTATCATCTTTTCACTATAGATTCAGTAACCAATTTCTTCAACTCTCATCTTTTTCTCACAACGTACACCAAACCTACTATGCCATTCCTGAGTGTACCTTCAATGTGAATTGCCATTCTTCAACTTTCAGACCCATAATCCACCTCCACTATAGTCTACCTGCAAATTACTACCAGTCCCACGCACAATCTGAGGGCTGCTACCAAAACAATTTTCCCTTTGTTGGCAGAGTAACCTTCAGGAAGATGCTATTTACAGAAACAACAAACTTTAAGATTGGATTGCAAGAGCAAGTTTTTTGTCAGCCATGGGACTTTAACTCAGGGCCTGGGCATTGTACCTGAGTTTTTTGTTGTTGTTGTTTTTGGGTTTTTTGCTCAAGGCTAGCACTCTGCCACTTTGAACCACAGCATAACTTCTGGTTTTCTGGTGGTTAGACTTTCCTGCCTGGTCTGGTTTGTAACTCCGATCCTTAGATCTCAGCCTCCTGAGTAGCTGGATTACAGACATGAGCCACCGCACCGGTGCCTGGCTACAAGTGCAATTTCTACTGAACACTTATTTTCGTAATGATTGCAAGCCCACACACAAAGAGCTGTCTTATTATTTGCTGATGACTATTTAACAGTCCATTATAAGAAATGATCATAATTTAGTGTTTTATTAATGAACATATAGGCTGTCACTAATCTTTACCATTAGTCATACTTGAATAATTAACTCTAATACACAAGTAATATACAAATCTGCCAGTAAAAAAATCCTACTAGTGGACTTATAAGGTCAAAAATTTTATTTTAAATATTTTTATAAATATAGCTCAGTTTCTCTTCACCAGGGTTTTATTGATTTTTGTGGGTAGATTTATGAGACAATCCATAAAGAGGCAGGGGTCTGTCCTTTCATGCTTTTCTACCAAACAGTTCTAGATAGTGGGTACCACAGCCCTCACTTCAATCTAATGCTTATTCAAGTGCTAATGAGCAGGATTGCCCAAAGCTGACTCAGGCCCAGCCCTCAAATCAGACTGCTCACTGCTACTGGACACTCAACTGGATTACCAAAATTCTGAGGATCTAGCAGAAAGCCTAGTACAATAATATATATTTGTAGAATGCTGACTGAAAGGGTAGGCAGTGTCCTAAGTCACATTTGAGAGATGAGGAAAATTAGACTCTAAATTTTTGCCCAACGTAACAAGAGCCTAGTGAAGGCTTGACTTTATATTTCATTTTCTTTTCATTATGTCCCAACCCAGATGCTATCAAAAACTTTTGCATTAGAGATATATTCTCATTGAAGACATGCATTTTTTAAATAGCCACAAGTACCCAGAAAGATCTACTGGACACAAGGTATAATGATTACAAGATGATCATTTTTAAGTTCCCTTCAAAGTGACAAGCCTAATATTAAAGCTACCCATTCTGACAGAAAATCATTTTATAAGTGCCAACGGCTAGAAAACAGGGCTATAAAGGCTTACTAAATTCATTAATAAGGCAGTCTGCAGTTATCTGATTTCACAGCAACACCTGCATATTTATCTACTCATTACCAATTGGATGATGGAATTTTTTCAAGCACATTTCAAAAATCTGCCAACTTCAAGTGTAAAAAAATAAACTTTGTGGTTAATTTTTCCCTTAACAAAGTACAGCTGTTGAGAATAATTGTTCAAGATCTTACCCTGTAATGTCAACTGCAGCAGAACAAAGAGTATTTAATTAGCAAATCTATCCAGTAATTCAACACCTATTATATAAAATGCCTTCATGATTTTATTCAGGATAATTTGCTAAGAGGGTTATTACTGACATTCAGATGGAATTTAAAATTCCTACGCAAGTCGAGTCATAATAGCAGTAATGATCTCCCCAATCAGGAGATTCGGTGTCACACAAGGCTCTCTTGCAATGCAGCAGCCGATTTCCTGACTTCTTAATTCCTGGGCTCAGCTCAGTGAGAGCCCTTCATGCCGATATTTCAGTCAGCAATACATCTTTAATGGGACTCTATTAAAATAACTAGAACAAAAATGACTTTTTT